TCTTTTACTATTATGAATGAACAGTTCTGGTTGTTCATGCATATTAGGAAAAGATCATTCAGGACGGCAAGAGTTACATGCACTTAGTCCCTTGAATGATTAGATGCAAGTTTAAAAATTGCATGTGAGTTTTTCTTTAATACTGCCCTTCCTTTGTTTTTCTGTACCTTGTTGCTGGTACTTTAAGACTAGTTGCAAGTTTGTACAACTTTCATAAATGTAAGTCTTCCAAATTCCACATTAGATGCTTTAAAGTTTCTCAAACGTGGTTCCATGGAAGTGTAGGATTCCTCCAGAGGTTACAGAGAGCAATGGTGGTTTAATTTCCATCTTGAAGGTTCCTTCAGTTCTGGTCCCAACTTCACTCAGGAGGTGGCACTGCATTGATCACTAATGTAAAAGGGCAATCTTTCTACTGACCACCACTGTAATGAGCATTCCCTCCATTGATCACAGATCATGTGGCTGCAGTTTGTAGTGTCATGACTGATCGATTCCCTTATGTCCATATTTTCATTCACCTAGGTTGACCCTACTCACCAAGGGAACAAAACTGACTGTCCTTGGTCACATGGCCCCAATGCATGGGGTGCCATCCATTCTATGTCACATCTCAAATGTGGTTCACATAGATTTCAATACATGTTTAATCTGGCCAGCTGCATCATAGTAAACCCCCGTTCTGGCCAGTCCCTACTCTGCTCTGCAAAATGCAATTGCTCCATTGGATATACTGCCAATATGGGGCAAATAGACACGCATTGTAAGAGAGCTACACATTCAGGTCAGGTCACTGACCTGTACGATACAACAGATATATGATACACCTATGCTAAAATCTAAAAAGCTTATACATACAGTTGCAAGAAAAAGTATGTGAACCCCTTGGGATTACGTTGAGTTTTGCATGAATTGGGCATAAAATGTGCTCGGAACGTCATCTAAGTCACAATAATAGAAGAACACAGTCTGCTGAACATAATACTACACAAATATTAGATGTTGCCATGGTTTAATTGCACATAACATGTAAACATTCACAGTGCAGGGAGGAAAAAGTATGTGAGGCCCTAGCTTAATGACTTCTCCCAGAGCTAATTGGAGCCAGAAGTGAGCCAACCTTGACTCCAATCAGTGTGATGATATTGGATGTGTTGCTGACAGCTGTCCTGCCCTTAAAAAACACACACCTGTTTTGGGTTTACTGGTTTCAAGAAGCACTGTCTGATGTGAACCATGCCTCGCAGAAAAGAGCTCTCAGAAGACCTACGATCAAGAATTGTTGACTTGCATGAAGCTGGAAAGGGTTACAAAAGTATCTCCAAAATGCCTTGATGTTCATGTGTCCTCGGTAAGACAGACTGTCTACAAATGGAGAAAGTTTAGCACTGTTGCTACTCTCCCTAGGTGTGGTCGTCCTGTAAAAATGACTGCAAGAGCACAGCGCAGAATGCTGCATGAGGTAAAGAAGAATCTTAGAGTGTCAGCTAAAGACCTACAGAAATCTCTGGCACATGCTAACATTTTTGTTGACACATCTACAATAAGGAAAACATTAAACAAGAATGGAGTACATGGGAGGACACCACGGAGGAAGCCATTGCTGTCCAGAAAGAATATTGCAGCACGTTTGAAGTTTGCAAAAGAGCAACTGATGTTCCACAGCACTACTGGCAAAATATACTGTGGACAGATGAAACCAAGATTGAGTTGTTTGGGAAGAACACACAACACTATGTGTGGAGAAAAAAAGGCACAGCACACCAACATCAAAACCTCATCCCCACTGTAATGCTTTGCTGCCTCAGGGCCTAGACGGATTGTTGTCATTGATGGGAAAATGAATTCCAGAATTTATCAAGACATTTTGCAGGAAAACGTATGACCATCTGTCCGCCAACTGAAGCTCTGCAGAGAATGGGTGATGCAACAGGACAATGACCCAAAGCATACAAGTAATTCAACAAAACAATGGCTGCAACAGCACAGAATACGCCTTCTGGAGTGGCCCAGTCAGAGTCCTGACCTCAACCCGATTGAAATGCTGTGGCATGACCTTAAGAGAGCGATTCACACCAGACATCCCAAGAATATTGCTACACTGAAACAGTTTTGTGAAGAGGAGTGGTCCAAAATTACTCCAGATCGTTGTGCAGGTCTGATCTGCAACTACAGGAAACGTTTGGTTGAGGTTATTGCTGCCAAAGGAGGGTCAACCAGTTATTAAGTCCAAAGGTTCACATACTTTTTCCTCCCTGCACTGTGAATGTTTACATGTTATGTGCAATTAAACCATGGCAACATCTAATGTTTGTGTAGTATTATGTTCAGCAGACTGTGTTCTTCTATTGTTGTGACTTAGATGATGTTCAGAGCACATTTTATGCCCAATTCATGCAAAACTCCACGTAATCCCAAGGGGTTCACATACTTTTTCTTGCAACTGTATATATATATATCCCATCAGGAGTTAAAGGAGTGTGACCACATATTAAATACAAAAGTTCTGAATGAACCCTCTGCATACTGCTATACACCCTTCCTAGCAAACTTTGCATAAATCGGATTTTAGTTCGAATTTGGAGCGTAGATTTACAGTATTTTTATGTGCATGTAAATTCATATTATTTAATGTCATGTAAAAATTTTTTTTTTATGCCTGTTCAAATTTTAAGTAAGAAACTTGTTTCAATGTATAGTTTGTAGCTATGAATGTACAGCACTGTATGTGAGAAGTGCTGCAAAATAGTTGTGCTTAAATCTGTCCATAGCCCAAAATCCTGGAACTGATCCTTTTCCTCTCTTGAACACCAGTATTTTCTGCCACTTATACATGAGGAGTTTCATGAGACACAGTTAAACTTACTGAAAACCTATAATCTGATGGGAAATTGACTGCTATGAAGGAGAAGGAATAGGAAGATGTGAAAGGTGTCTGAGATGTCTCCAATGACAGACACCGCGGACAGAATGTTATATGCCCCTAGTAACACCCAGCCATCTCACAATTATACATTACAAGTTGCCTGCAATCACATGTGCAGCTTTCACTGATCAACGCCGCTGTCTAACACTCCCCTGAGAAAGCCATCATGGACCGATTACTGTCATCACTGGTGTAAACACAGTTCAAGCCAGCCTTGAGTCACTCTTGACAGATCAATATACCTAAATGGCTCTGCACTTCAGCATAAATACAGGAGGTGTGGCAGTGATAGGGCTCATAAGGCCTGGGGGGGGGGTTCAGACATTATGGATCTACATTCCAGCACAAATACATGGATGTACCAGTGACAAGCCCCATAAGGCCTGGAGAAACCCAGTCATATTGGTTTTACTTTCATGTTGCCGTTCACATACATTTTTCTCACTAAGTCCCCCTGCTGTCATGGTTGGTTTCCCTCTAGCTTCTTCAGTTCCTTGTCCTTAATCCTGGAGTTGGAGGAGCTGAGGATGGGCAGCATGACCTGAGGTGAACCATGTCACCCTCCTTTGTGTGTAAAAAACTGTAGCATGATGTGCAGCCACAGCACCAGGAAACATGGGAGACAATGGTGTCGACACCCAGGGCACCGGGCAGGAGATGCAGAGTATGTGCTCCAGGTGTCTAGTGCTGGTGTGATGGTGGGGTTGCAACCTACTAAATACATGGACCTGATCGACAGCCAAATCATAAATGACCTATTGTCAGGAATGGACTCAGCACTGGTGGTGGGACTCACCTGCCGTGTGGGCTGCAGTACCAGGGCTGACCAGCGGGTGCTCTCAGCAGCCAGAAGCTCACTCCTGCAGCAATCAGCCAACACCTGGGGCTGATTGCAGGAGGTGTATTTAAGGAATGGCCAGACCTGCAGTCAGTGCCTTGGTGTATGTTTCCCATGAACCCCTGTACCTGGTATCCTGTGTTCCTGCCTATCTGCCTAGTTGCTGACCCTGCTTTGATCCTGACCTCTGCTGACTGTCTCCTGTTGAACCCCTGGCTTGCCTGACCATCCTTCTGCCTGATCCTCTGTACCGCGCTGCCCTTGAGTTACTGAACCTGGCTTGTGACCCTGACTATTCTCTGCCTGCTCCTCCGGTACCTCACTGCCCGCACGTTGCTGACCTGGCCTGCCTGACTACGCCTGACGCTACCCAGACAATCCATCCATCCCGCACGGATCCAGTCACTACTGTCCAAACCTGCCAGCCCCTTCACATCAGGCTTTCCCCCGGTACACACCCTCGGCAGACCCCTCTACCACAGTTGGGTGCACTCAGGGGCTGCGACCTGGTCTCAGTCCTGCACCAAGTCCATCCCCACCATCAGGGGCTCTGGTGAAAAGGCAGACTGGGGCTTAGACTCCGCGCCCTGGAGAATCCTGTTCTGTGGGTCACTAGAGATCCCGCCGGGCGGTGCCTGACATTGCCTTACGGCCCGCCTGACCATTCCACCTCTCCAGCCCTGACTACGCCTGTGTTCCTGAAGCCTGCTACTTCCCTGTGTCAGTCGACACATTTCTGGTCACACCCGGATCCCTGACACCTATTACTGGTCTCAGGTTTAAAGCCTGCCTTGTTTTTTTAAGGTTTGAATAAAATGGGTGCAAGTTAAAATTTTTATTCCCATTTCTGATCCCATTGGGGAGATCTTTCAACATTCCTGACCATGTAACACACATACAAGAGACACGTAGTGTGGTTGTCAGGAAGACAGCAATGAAAACACTGCAATAACAAGTGGTAGCTCTTTTCGGTTTTCTAAAATGTTTTTGTATTTTTCTGCTTCCCCATTGGAGACATTTGCCATGACTTCCTGTCATGGTAGGCAGCGATGGGAAGCCTCCCCAATGGTAATAGAGCGCACAACAAACACCTAGCAGCAGCTCTCATCCTTCCCTGCTCTATCCAAAGCAAAACAAATCTTTTGGCTGAAATTGTGATGACATCGAAATGTGAAGTCAGATAAAAACTGTACGGAAAAAACGCAATCAAATAAAACTATCAATATTTCTAAGAGGTCTAATGTTATTCAGTTGAGAGGGTTACAATGAATCAAATACGTTCCCAAAAGATGTAAGAATGAAATTCCTTTCATTTAGATTGCCATTTTACAATTGTTTGCCTGGTATGGGTGAACCATGCCATAGTACTGGTCTCATGGCTGAATAAACTTCAAGATGTTTGTAACTGTTTTCTTGGAAATGTTTTGTAACTCTTGATGCACCCTGGTATGTAAAGCACAGGACATAAGCAATAATAAAGACAGGCCTGTAACTCCATGCCACCTTAAGTCTAGGTTCACACCTATGCAGGTTGCGTTTGATGTGTTTCTGCATTGCGCTTTGCGTTTTTGCACTTGCGATTTTTATGCATTTTGCATTTTTTTTTTTCCTCTGCATCATTCAGATGTTCAGTGGCAAACTTCAGACGGGCCTGGACATGTGCTTTCTTGAGCAGAGGGACCTTGTGGGCACTGCAGGATTTCAATCGTTGTCGACGTAGTGTTACCAATTGTAGTTCTGGGATGATTCCTCACTGTTCTCATGATCATTAACACTCCACGTGGTGAGATCTTGCATGGTGCACCAGAACTAGGGAGACTGACACTTGTTTTGTGTTTCTTCCATTTGTGAATGATTGCACAAACCAGGGGTGGACTGACAACTCATGGGGCCCCCGGGCAATAGGGGATCACGGGGCCCCTGTGTCCTTGCCCACACTCAAAAAAGCCTATGAAAAGGGTACCAGGGGCATCTCATGGGGCCCCCTACTGACCCCGGGCCCTCGGGCAGTGCCCGAGTTTCCAAATGGTCAGTCCGCCCCTGGCACCAACTGTTGTCACCTTCTCACCAAGCTGCTTGGCGATAGTTTGGTAGCCCAGTCCAGCCTTGTGTAGGTCTACAATCTTGTCCCTGACATCCTTGGACAGCTCTTTGGTCTTTGCCATGGTTGGAGAGTTTGGAATCTGATTGTTTGATTGCTCCTGGGGAAAGGTTTCTTTTATACAGGTAACAAACTGAGATTAGCAGCACTCCTTTTAAGAGACTGCTTCTAATCTCAGGCAAATTTTAACCGCAAAATACATGAAAAACATGGCAAAAAACGCAATACATGCTTTTCTGCAGTGTTCCCATTGAAGTCTACAGAACCAAAAATGCAGTAAAAAAAGTCCCTGACCCTTTCCAGAAAACGTATGGGGTGAAAAGATGTGAACCTGTCCCATAAGAAATCATGTTAAATGGACTGTACTGCATTTCTGCAAAACACTGCAGAAAATGCTTAAATGTGAACCTAGCGTAAAGGGCTAGTTTACACATGCTTCAAAATGTGGCTTCGGAATGTGCTTTTTTAAAATGCTCTGAAGGCCAATCGAAGCCCCTGTCACTAAATAAAGTGGTTAGGTTACAGTCCTGCTTACAGGTTGCTTTTGCTTTGCTACGCTTAAAAAATTATACCCCATGACGCTTTCAAGGTGCTTCAAAGTGTCTCCGAAGCCTCCATAGAAGTCTATGACAAAGTTTGCTTGCAGCACCTGCAGCTTTTGAGAGCCTTTTTATTCAGCTTTAGCTTTGCTTTGTTTTAGAGGTATTGCAGGTATGAGATATCCTAGGATGCACTGGGAAACCAAAAAGCGAACCTTTCCATCCAGGTTTAAAGCCACTGATGGACTTTCAATTCAAAAACATGTGTACTACTGAGGAATATAATACATTGGAAATAAATGCAGTATTTAAATGTATATTATATAAAAGTCTATTCTGTCTGTGTATTCTGTCTCCCTTTTCACTGGATAACAGGTTATGCTTTCAGAAGTAACATAACATATATTTCTAGCTCATACACTATATAGTTAAAGGTTTGTGGACACCTGGCTATAATACCTGGATGATGTCCCATTCCAAATCATAGGCATGTTGCCACTAACCCCCCCTACCCCTGCTTTGTGGCTATAATGGACTTAATTCTTCTGGGAAAGCTTTTCATGAGATTTTAGAGTGTTTCTGAAATTGTATGACAACAGCTGGCTCTCAGAAAGACATCATCAACAGTCACTTCTGGTTCCTGTGTATATATTCTGGGAGTGTGAAGTACAGATATCATATCTGATGTGCAGCATGGAGCAGAAAGAAGGTGGTCAGGGTCCGGACCAGAGAAGACGGCACACATGAGGACTAGGCGGCAGAGGATCAGCAGAGCTGGGGGACCAGAGCAGGAAAAACTAGCAATGTCACATGTGCTGTGCAGCGTGGGAACAATATAGCGGGAGGTGAGCGGGGAACAGAGAGAGAGGAGGAACAGAAAACCAGAGGATCAGCAGAACTGGGGGTTACTACTGAGTGGGGGATCAGCAGAGTTGGGGGTTACTACTTAGTGGGGCATCAGCTGAGTTGGAAGTACTACTGAGCAGGTGATTTGCTGAACAAGGGTAATAGTAAGCTGGGGATCTGCTGAACGAGGTTACCAATGAGCTGGGGATCTGCTGAACAGCAGTACTAATGAACTGGGGATCTGCTGACTGGGGGAATACTGAGCTGGGGTTTTACTGAGCCCCTTTAAAACAAATAGAAAATCGACATACACACAGGACATTTGCCAAGCTTCAAAAAAGCATAATCGAAGCATCACTGAAGCAATATTGATGCATCAAAAACACATCCAAAAAGCAAGTCGAAATTGTAGGCACTTTAATGTATGTTGAAGCCGAAGCAAGTGTAAATGAGCCATAACAGCCAGACAGACTACACTCCTTTTTTCCTATGACCCAATGGCCTTATATATTAATGCATTGTCATCTGTGCATATATTTGACTTATTTGATGAGTTTGTACCTTTCATTTCAGAATTCTCATGACACATCCACTTGACATGGTGACACATAACTGTGTCTGACACTCAAGCCAAGATATACTGATACAGGTGATGGAAGATTCATTTAATCCCCCTTCCTAGGGAGAACATGCTCTAACCAAGTGCTCACCTAAATGTCAATTTCAGATGGTTATGTGTCATCATTATTTTTTTGCCCCGGGGCCATCAAATTTAGACAGCACACACCGGCTCTCATTATCAAAGTGTCTGAAGATGAGAGTGCAGCCCTGTATGGAAGTGTCTGCAGGATGGAAATTTTTTTGTCTATGTGGGGTAGGGTTAATGGGGCTAATTTCAGAAGACAGATACTTCCCCTACAGCCCTGCCTACTAAACAGGTGAGTTTAGAGAGACAGTGGCATGGGTGGAGTGAACAGAAGAGAGATCTGTTGAAAGTCTGGATCCCATTGAACGGGGGCACAGGGGTCACTAAAAGACTTGCAAGTCTTTTCTGGCTGTTGGGCCTGCTCTCTTGTACCTCGAATCTGTGCTGAAACTAAGCATATATCAGCCTCTGTTTAAAGACTGTGGGGTTAATTTACTAAAACTTTTACAATCAAGATATGGTTTAAATTCATATAAAATTGTTCTGTTTTATAATTGTCGGTCTCAAGGAAAACATAAAAAAAATTAGGTTGGTTGAGCGTCGGACCCAAAGGTAAGTATAATCATGTGTGGCCATCAGGTTAAGGGGCAACTCTTTCGTAGGGGTATCCCTATGGGACCCTGGAGCAGTCCAAAGTAAATGGAAAGTATGAGTGTGCCACGGGTTTGTAACAAGTGCAATATAGATTTCTTCATTTTGATAAAGATGAGAAGGTCAGGTGCCAATGTTTAGCACTTGACTGTGCATTCATTGTCCAGTATCTTCTCTTATGACAGTTTGGTGACCACACTGTGATTCTAGTCATGACTGTGCATTCATTGTCCAGTATCTTCTAGTTGTTGACTGTGCATTCATTGTCCAGTATCTTCTCTTATGACAGTTTGATGACCACATTGTGATTCTAGTCGTTGACTGTGCATTCATTGTCCAGTATCTTCTCTTATGACAGTTTGATGACCACACTGTGATTCTAGTCATTGACT